GATAACATTATTAAAAGGTGCTGTAAGATACAGAGGATCCAACACAAACATTCAGTCTTTAATCACAGGTCACAAAAGCCGAAGAAAAATCTTTTATATTCTTTCCTATTCAAAAGAAAAGAAAACTGTAAAGAGAAGTTATGCATCAAATCTCTTTGCAACAATGTCATTGTCTCTCTGCATCAAAAAAAGACCAACAAAGAAGAAGGGCAAAATTAAAATAACTTCAAAGCGACAGAAATTATACTGTACATTCACACTTTGCAAATAAGATTAAAAAACTGACAAAATCCCTACAATCTTCAAATCTGCTACGTGTTCAGTCTTGGCCAATGTTTTCAAATACTTGAAGCACTGATGGGAGTAAATTTCACTATATAATGAAACAGCATACTCCTTTGGATTTGATGTATGCAGAATACTGTAATGCAAGAGTTCTTGCAAGCAAAAGAAAGTTCATGGCCCTAAAACTACTGAAAGGGAGCAAAATTATCCAGGAAAGTTTTCTAAAGCTTGTGCAAGCCTGTCTCTTCAGGATCAATAAGAATTCTCATTCCATGTGTCTGCCTAAATAAATGCAACAACTGATGGATATAAAATTAATACAGCCAGTTATCACCATGAAAACACTTGCTACTGGTTGTGCTGTATGCAAACTCATGAACAGCAGAATGGAAAAGATCTCTGCAATGTGAACTCTGCTTCGAGCACAGAAACTTATAGCACGCCTAATGATAACTCAAAGCCAGTCATCCAATGCACAACTAACTGTCCTGAAGATAATGAAAGTTCTGCACCCAACCTTGCAAAAATTATTATTTAGGTACCAAGGTACACAGAGATATTGTAGTTGAAAATCTATACCAGTACAAGACTGATCAAAAAGAATACGGCATGAAACCTTACTTGGATGAAAATTTTCATGAGAACTATGAAACATGCAGCTGGGGTCTTAGAAATAATTCACAGTACATTTAATGTCAGAAGATAGCTTTGTGCAGAGGTACAGAGGTAAAGATAATATCTGAAAGCAAAAACCCCCTCTTAAAAAAAACCAAAAAAAACCCCTCCAAATTATTTTGGTGTGTTAGTGAGCAAATAACCATTAATTGTCCCAAGTTAGAAGGAACTTTTTCAGGAAGCAGAGCAGTCTAACTTGTCTGAACAAGTTTTTTTGTATTTATTTTTCAAATTTATTTTGGTTAGGTCTAAGACAAGGCATCATATCTCAGTCCAACAACCTTTATTTAAAAAGAGGGATAAAATCTATAGAAGAAAACAACAGTAACTAAGACATTTTCTCACACACATCTCTAATGTGCCATAAATTTTATACCCTTCTGAATGAGAAAGTAAATCAAACATTCTTCTCCCCTGAAGCATTAAAGCACTGTCCTGGCATGGCAATGATGGCACCTTACAAGAATTATGACAATCTGTCCAACTCCTCACCTACTGCATTAATTACCAAAGCTTGGGGTTACACATTATTTGACAACAAATAAGCCTTTAAAATAAAAAAATTAGAAATAAATATATGTTTTAAGAACACATTTTCTCTTCAAGTAAAGCATTTCTTTAGATCTCACCAGAAAGAAAAAATAATAGTCCCAGTAGGGTTTGCAATATTACTAAACATTCATCTCTTGAAGTATGCTCTAGTAGCAGGGTATATTTCAGACTCTGGATTTTAGATTTCTACATTTATTTTCCTTCTATGTCAGTTCTCAAAGCTGACAAATACTGAAAAGAACGGCTTCTTAAACAAGACATCTTAAAAAAATTAACATTCAGACAACTATGTTTTAAGCCAAATGACACACAGTAAAATTTATTCACTCATTTCCAGTGACAAGGACTTTTTGCTATTCCCAAAGTAGTCCTACAAAATGCTGCAGTTGGAGTTTCTACTTTTCAAAAAAAACTGTGATCCCTCTGAAATGGATACCAATGTTAATAAGAGCTTCAGGACAGAAACATTTCATCTTACACCATAAGCCTGCCATTATGGGCTGCATTATAGGTGCACATTATAGGTGTACATGAAAAAACGACACAGAAGTGAGTTTCCAATAGTGCACTTGGGAAAGCAAGAATTGCCACAGGGGATTGAAAGGATACAGAGAGTTTTCTGCAACCAGAAACAGAATATCCTCAGTAGAAGAATGAAGGAAAAGGAAGAAGACTTGTGCTTGATCAAGACAGGAAACAAAACAACATGGTTTAATGCTACCATGCATGCAAACAATTGCAGAAAGACAAACTAGAGAAAACAAGAGTGGAATACAGACTTCATATAACAATACTGGTACCCTGATCAATGGATTTAAACACACAAAAAAGAGAATATTAAAAATCCAGAGATAAGCACATGAGAAACAACTAATCCCCCCAAACACTAGGCTTTAATATAAGTTGGAAAACACCTTGGATTGATGAATCTACTTTGAAACTCGTACTCAACACAATGACAAAGGGGAAAAAAATGATCTGTCTGAAGTGAAATAAAGTTGCTCTGTTTTACAGGGAGACCTGTTTCTGAAAATAAGTTCCCATAGTTACCATAAGCTGCGTTTCATAGGTTTAATGTTGACCTAAAGCACCTTTTTCTAAACCTTTCACATAGAATTTTTTCAAAAGACTTAAAATACACAAGCTTTTAGTCTAAGCTCTACAGTGACTTCATAATAAAATTACTTTCTATTACATGCTTAAAATAACCACAGGTTCTAGAGTTCATATTCATCATAGTTTTCATCCCTATATTGTCAAAACACATTAAATGCTTTTTTTTAAGCACAAAACCACTCACTCCCTGAAAATAACTCTTGTGCTAAAGAAAGAGCATAGACTCCTGAACTCACCTCATTGATTATTTCAGCTGGTATCACAGTAAAAACCCAAGCATCAAGGAGAGGAAGACAGGATATGAGTTCCAAACACACAGTAACAAATCACGCTCACGTTAACTGGCTGTTGGTTCTTCAAGTATCTACATTAGCAAGTGTCCTTCTAGTAATGAGCTAGCAGTTAATTTCTTGCCTAAATAAATACAGGGGTAATGATCAACCAGAAATTACCTGTATTTTTCCTGTTTTGTCTAGATCTGACCAAATGTAATCAGCTTATAATTACACTAAGTAGCTTGCTTAGCATTCTATTTATAAAACTGATTAGATGCTAAGCAGAGCAGGCAATAGTTTAACACTTTATTTTGATGTTGAAAGCAGAGGCTGGGGGAGCGGGAGCAAAGATGGCAGAGAAAACAAAAAACCCTCAGAAAACTTTAGAAATATTATTTTAGAGATACAAATCTGTTGCTTTACACGCATTTAAAATTTGTGTCATTTGATTAAATATTTAGATATTTATACAGATACATATCTATAGAAATACACATATATAATTTATATAGAATATATTTATATTTTTGAAGTTATTAATATTAAATATTTAATTACTTCAGTAGGTTTGAACAAGTGAATATTCAGACATACTAACTGCTCGTGAGACTCTTCCTGGAGAGAGAATATGGTGTTGCCCTGACTTGGGAAAGGGAAAATCCAGGCTTCAGGAAAATTACAGACCACTGCCAAGGCCCTGGTCTAGGTTAAGCTAACTGAACAGGATGTGAAAAACTAAAGGACATGACATGAGAAGTAGCTAGATGTGACAGATAACATAATAAGATGCTGACAAAAGCTACAAATAGCACCATGAGGGATGACTGGATTTCGCAGATGTTTAAAGGGGAGTTGGGTGAGAAACAGCCAAATTCCACAGAAAACCGAAGAGGGAACTTTCAGGTTTTTGAGACTTTTTGGGATGTAGAACTTGCAACACCAGCACTACTTAGTGACTGGATCTGTAATGCCATAGAAGGCTAAGATTCCCTAGATAATAAATGAAGACCAAGAGGGAAAAAAGTAATTGGGGGTGAATTGATTATTTGGGAAGAAACAGAGATTAAAAAAAAAAACAAAAAAACAAACCCTCCCCCCCCCAAAAACAGACGACCTACAAGAATGGCAAAAGGAGGGTCAAGAAAGAGGAAAGCAGATAAGCTGTACACAATGTGACCAATGCTGTCTGGAGCAGTCCTGCCCTTGATCATCACATTATCAGAACTGTAAACCAAACCAGTTGTTCTGACCATACCACATCAATCAAACTTGCCAAGGTGCTTTCCCTGGCTAACAGGAGGTCACCTGGCTGGACAGATCAAGGAACTTGGTTATCCCCATGTTAGTCAACATCTGCATCTACCCACCACTCCCCAGCATAGGCTGTCAGACACTGTCTTTGACAAATTGCTTCAACTCATTTCCTCATTTATATAATGGACATAATACTGTTTTTCTTCTTCTGTTGGGTTATTTTTGGCACTGTCAGTAACGAAATCAAGACAGTTAACAGTTTATTTAAGCTCAATATTTTTCTCTTGCTACTTTATCTCTTAGGTAAACATGAAGCTCATAATTTGGAAGTTCTGAATTTTCACACATTCTGCTTGGTCTAAGTTGAACTTTGATTCCAAGAACTAAAGCCCCATTTTTGCAAGTAAAAGAATGGCAGGAGATTAATACCTTTCATACAGAGTGAAAGGTACTTATAGGATAGGATATGACAGAACTGAAAGGAAGATTGAGGAAAATACTGTTCCTAATCTGACAGGTACATGGGAGAAAAAGAAGAAATCAAAAAAAACAGGGCAAGGGATTAAAAGAAACAACCATATATCAGTGCTTGTTAACGACAGCCCTTAATCCAGTTGTTTGCAGAAAATAATAAGCATGGCTTCATCTTAACAACTATGTAGACACAATTTTCCGAATACACACACTTTTTATTTATCACTAAGAGTTAGACATTCAGTGAATCTACTACAGATTTGCAACATCCTGTCAAAGATTATTGTTTCTTAAAAAGATGAAAAAAAAGGGATTATATTACATATGGGGGGTAATTTTATGCTAATTTATAATTATTGTTTTATTTACCTTTTTGTTTTCTTGTAGTTTTCCAGCTGCAATGTCTGCATACACTTGTATCTTTCCAACTCACACTGTTCACATAGGTCCTCAAGACACAACAGATGATTCTCCATTTCCTCAAAGTTTGCCTCTAGCTGGGCTATAAGAAATACTTACATGAATATCAAATTGTATCAACAGATGGACAACTCACCTGAACAGAAATAGGATTTTTTAAAGGTACACAATTAACATAGTAATCATTACACATATATAAATGGCTCAGAAAGATAAACAAATCTCAGCCCATATCACACAGTGAAGAGTGGCAGCAGAGCCATGTTAAGGTAGATCTATCTGAGGTTCCCTTGTAGTAAGATGTTGAACCACTCTATTTGCCCCAGCATCTTAGTCTCAGAGGCTTGTGTGTGTACATCAGGAAAAGAAGATTCAGGACTCATAATTTTAGTTCTTGAGTAGACTCTCAGTTTAGCCCTTCCTATATGGTACCAATGTGAGGTATAAAGCTCTGACCAAAATCAGTACTGATCTTAATTTATTCAAATGAAGCAAAAGTAAAGCATACTAGGAGAATTTTAACTTTCACATGATCTCATGGTAATATAAAAGAACACATTTTTGTCTCTGAAGACAGATCCTTTACTGATAGGTGAATCTCTAGATTTAACTATTTTACATACACATGCACTTAAAAACATGCAAAATGTCTTAATCTCCTCTTTAACCACAGTTGCTCAGTCTCAACTTAAAATAGATCAATCCTATGAAAAGTCCTCCAAAAGCATCTCATAGCTCACACTGTTTTGACTAGAAATCGGGACCAAAGAATTCCTGACCTCAATTATCCCATGTGAATCTTGTATCAAAGGATCACTCTCCCTGCCAGTGATTAATGCTAAACTCCATGTCTCTCCTCAGGATCCCAAAGTGGAAAAACTATTTTCCCAAACTCTAACCAGTGAGCCACTCTGGGATGGAACTCTGTGAATTACAGGACTATTATTCATCCTTGTCCCAGGACTCTTCCTATAACCAGAGGGAAGGTAAATTGCAGGAGGAAAGATAAATCACACTTTTACAAACAAAATAGCAGCCAAAGAATAGAAGGGAGTTTGCGGTCCAGAGACATATACACTGATCCGCTGCAGGATATGAACCTGACTGTTGGTGCAAAGAACTACACAGATGATGGAATGAAAGCAAAAAACGTAAAGGAACTCTGAGTTTTGGCAAATGGCTGTGTTTCACCTTTGCCTGTAACAGACAGAAGCAACCTTCAAAAAGCAAGAGAATAATTATTAAGTTCAAGGTAGGAAAAAGTGATTTAATGTGTTTTGGATGCTCAAAAGAAGGAATAGTAAGCTGGATGCATCAGTTAAATCTTCAGTTTTGGTTTGACCATTCTACTTGGAGCCTATTTTGCAGTATACATAATTTCAACTTTCTTGGCCATTACTCAGTTATAGCCATCCTTGTGTTTGCCCTAGAAAAGCAAAAGTTAAGACCTCAAACAAATTTCCTAGGATGCATATTCATATGTTCAGCTTCAATTACTTAATGATTTTTTTAGTCCCTAACAAGTAAGCTCCACAACAGTCAGAAAGGGAAACACGGATTATATAATCAGCTAATATTTCCTTGAATTATTTATCTGTATACAGATCTCCGAGGGGAGAGGGAGATGGCAAAAAAAAAAATAGGCAGTTGACAATTAATGCAGGTACAATTCTGAGGAAAAAAAATGTTTTCAGTTCTACATATTGTGATGTGGAAATCTGTTGTTTACCACATACTCAATTTTATCTCACAAAATCCAGATGTATTCAAAGAGTAATATCATTTATTGCAATTATGATTGGTAGTCCCTTTTTGCTTAAGAAAAGGACTTTCTTGAGTGCATTAAAATCCAAATGTCTGTATTATGCTAACTTGCTTTTCAGAATGATTGCTTGCTTCTTAATTTGCAAAATTCACAAACACAGCAGGGCTGAAGATAATTTAGTAAGGTACCTATCAACCCCTGTTTTTTCCAGATACCATCCCCCACCTGCTTTGCTGTATTAGCTATTGAAATAATATTAAAAGACTACAACAAAGAACAGGAAAAAAAAAAGAATGAAGTGAATTCTAGAGAGCAACTGATTCCTAGCACTAGCATTTGAGCGGCCTCTAGTGGGAATTGCAGAAAACACTGTGCTCCTGAAGAACAGGAATGAACTCCTCAGGAGGCAACAATCCTGCTTTACTGCAACACTGGTTTCAAAAGTTTTCTTTCTGAAGTGAAAGAAAACTTAATTTTCACAAAAAAAGCTGAAAACTAGCTCCATTGCAATAGCACCAGCTACAGTTGTGAATTAATCTCTCTCTTATCCAAATGAGAAATACGCACTATGCAGACAAAGAGGATTCCAAACAAAACTACGTATTTAATCAATTTGAAACTTAAGCCATAAGTCTATGATCAGCTCTTATCTATATTCACAGATAATAAGCTCATAATTTAAAGATGTTATTTAGCAAAAATATGAAATCTAGAAATTCCTTTCCAGTTTACAGTTCACATGGCACTTAGAACAAATATGCCCCAGAAAGCCAGCTTATGTTCTAAAGAACATCTGCAAGATTACTACTTCTTGTTCAGCTCAAAGAAATCCCACAACCAAGGCGTCAGGCAACAATCACCATCTCACTCTAAACTGGCATTGCTATGAAGGTGAAAAACATCTCCTTTAAATTTTTTTAAGATTTAAAGAATACAGTCTACCTTTAGATTAAGAATTTTCCTGTAGAGTAAATACACCACACTTGGCAGAAATCATACTTTTTATTAGATAGCTCAAAAAATAACTTGTTCTTTAGGTCACATCATTCCAGTTATATCAGTTTGGCCTATATATCTTACACTACCATAGGTATAACAACACTATTTGAAGTTTTAGTTCTTAGTTTTAATTTTTTCTAAGTATGTTAATGTTTGATCAGATGACATTAGATTGAATCATCCTCCATCATCATACACTGTTTTTCTTAGTTTACCAGATAAGCAGGTATTAAAGTATTTACTTAGAACTCAACAACCACAAAATAAATTTTTTTACCTGAAAACACTTTATTTCAATTAGTTTACCTAATTTAAATTTACCACATAATTTTTTAAATTGAAACCTGTGTTACCTTTAGTTCTGTGCGAGTACAAAAGTTGTTAGAAAAGCTAAATCGCAGCTGTATATCAGAAAATACTAGTTTTCCATTTTTCCTACGCTAACTTTAAGTGTCACTTTCCTGCACTCTCCCAGCCACTGAAACAACAGAAACCACAAAGGAGTATTAAAGACATTTCTATAAAGTTCATTCATTTTCTGAATAAAAGGCAAAAAAACAGAAAACAGAATGGATGGAAGCAATTACATCAAAGATATTCTCTATCTCTAGGCCATTCAGGGACAGTGATTACTAAAGGCAGTGAAAGACATACAAAAACAGGAAGAGCTCCATTCACTGAAAAAAAAAAAAAAGAAAAGAAAAAACTTTACATAATTACAGTTCTACTAGTGCTCAATTTTCATCTTTTTTTAAAGAAAATATCTTAAACCCAGCTAATATCATACCATTTACATGAAGTTAAAGCAGCTTCTTCGCAGAAACTACATATCAAGTACACTAGAAACTTTTCCTTCTGTATTCAATCCCCAGACACTTCCAAGTTTACAGCACCAAACCGTATGTCTTTTATACATACATATCTCTACCTAACACAATAACCCTCTCTGCTGAAGTGTTGTGCCCTGGAGCTTATGAAAGAGAAAAACACCCTGTTGAACACAGGTGTCTTTAGACTGTATTATTCAAATTGCCTGGTTTTACATATATCTTCCCAATATTTTCCCTTTCTCAGTAAAAGATAAATACAGTTTTATTTCAGACAATGCAACTCATGTAAGCAAGAAGAGTAACAGCAGTTTTTAAAGAACGAGATAGAAAGACTGTTTTAATTAATAATAAATTATTATTTTCTTTAGACATTTTCCCAACCGCAAATCGTTGCTCATGTTCAGTAAAAGTTTTCACAGCTCTCCCAACTTTCAAAATAATTTTAAAATCATAAAGAAATCACTAAAAACTGGAGTCTACTAATGAAATATATTCTAAATTTTTGCATCACAAAGCCTTTATCCAGCTCTTTTTCAAGAGTTATATGCTGCTAAATGCTAAACTAGAAGGAAACTGTCATTTAAGTAACCAAACACAAATCAGAAGTTCAAATACCAGCTCTATAAAAAAATCTTGATTAATAAATTGTCTAGTCTTAAATTCACTTTTACTCGACCAATACCTAATATCTAAATCCCTACATAAGCCATAATTAATAAATAGGTAATAGTAAACTAATGACTTGTCTTCCCCAAAGACACTCATGTCTTCCTGAAAGAGACTAATCTACGGGCTATTATTCACTACACCTTTTCCTCCTAAAAGTACTGGTGCAGAGGTAGTCTACAAACTGATGAAATGAACAAAAATAAAATTCTATAACCTTAAAATACAAGATGTTGCTGGAAGTATACTGCACTTTTCAAACTGGAAAAATCTTTGCCATTTTTATCAAGAAATTAAAAAAAATATATATTTCATTAAAACACACCCCCTTTTTTGGTGCAAAACAATACCCAAAATATGGGGTATTACGTTCTTAAAGTAGCCCCAATGTTACCAAAACCAAAAAAAAATATTGCATTCAATGAAAGAGATACTATAATTACTGTGACCTTTTAGTTCAGCTTTAGTATATTTCCTTTATGTCTGAAGAAGCCATTAAGAAGTCATTAATTATCCCACACCTTAAAGAAAGTGAGCATGGCCATTAATTTCTTTAAAAATGCAAACTGGATTGAATTTTGCAAAGCTAGAAAATGGCAACTTTCAAACTTGCTACACAATCTGAAAATAAAGCATGACCTTCTGCTGAGGATATAAACAATGATACCCCCCCTAAACAGTGCAAAAAGTTCTGTTGCCCTAATGGATTTTCACATCCACCTAACTCATACTTCAGAAAAAAATATTAAAGATTAGGAGGCAATGGCTTTTATCTCTGACTATATCCCCAGCCTTATTTTATTCCCAGTCCCAGTCTAAGTATTTTCAACCTATGCTGGATCTGTCACTTATGTACATGAATAGCCTTTCTGAAACCAGTATCAAGTTAATGCTTAACACTTGATCTTAAAAAAAAAAAGAGAGAGGGGAGAGAAAATTGGATTTGGATCAAGATTTGTGTGTATTGATTTACTGAAATCAAAACAGATGTCTGAGCAAAATGCCAAGGCTCAAACATGAAGCATATTTCATATTAAGACAAGTATGACAGATATCAAGAAGCAGATATTTTCTACAACATCTCAAACAAAAACCAGCTTAAGTGATGATTCCAATTTCGAACTTTGAAAGGACAATAACTGTCCTTTTCACTTTTACATGAGAGTAATTTTTTCTTCAAAAGTTCTCAGTGGCAGTTACAAGACATTGCATAATACAATAAATTTATCAAATGAAGACACAGACTTTTTACTTCAAGTGAGGGATGACTAATAACATGAACACCTAAGTTAAAGGACTTTATAAAATTGCTGATGAAAATGTGTGTTGTAATAGAGAGCAAAAGCTGAGGAATCTGTACGTGACTCATACCAGCATTAATAGGTCAGTAAAAAGGTTTATTTCCATTATTCGAAATTTCTTTTACCAAAAGCAGCCAGGGTCCACCATTTACTTTCAAAATGAAAGCATTAATAGATTTATTAGAAACACATCATATTACAAGTCAGAACTATGTTCAAATGATGAAAACTAGCCAAATTAAATCTTGAATGCACAACCCAGGACACAGCACTTTATAATTCTATTTTCCTATTTTTTTACAGAATGTTTCACTTATATTTAAAATTCACAGTCAGAGTAATAGTCATCTCTTGGAAAATTGAATACAGTTTATATTTCTAAGAAGCAGATAGTTCAGAGTTAGAAAAACTAAAAACAGTGAGCAGAATATCATAGTAAATTTCTGTTAAATCCCTTCTAGAAGGGTAGATGTTGAATTTGCCATAAATTATACCTACCTCTTCAAATAGACTCCCTAAAACTCACCATTAAAAAAAATTCCAAAAAACTCAGTCGTTAAGAGGAACTAATAAATAACTCTAGATAAACTACTTGAAATCTGACACACAAGGTGAAGCTAGAAGATTTGGTTCACATCTCACAATCTTAGCAGTATACTTCAAAATTCATTAGCTTCCCCAAACAGGCCGCTTAATGCTTCCTTAAATCCTACTTGTGCAGAATCAAAAATATTCTACAGACAAACCTTCTCCAAGTTATTCTACAATCAGAGTGAGATTAATTCTGGTTCATAAAACTACATTAGGAATTGGAAAGTAACCCCAATTCATCAGGATTTATAGCATTTGCTGTTATGAACTATGAAGAAAATTCCATTAGGTTTTTAATATATTGTTTATCTTTGGTCTACCAGTGGGCTGCATCACTTTGTGCATGATGATATTAAACCCAATATTTTAATAAATCATTATTTGAATTTATATTTCCTTAGAAAATTTTTTTTCAAAAGCCAATATTAAAGGCTTAGCACACATGACAAAGCCTTATTAAATAAGGTGGTATAAGAAAATGGTAATAAAAAATGAAATACATTCTTTGGTTCAGAAATAAATAGCAAAGTTATTACCAGTCTACCTAGGAACAAAAGTTGATTTGTGCATGTCCACTGACCATAGGAGAATGAGAAATTAGGCTTTGAAGACAGAAACGAACCCTCCTTTTCTTCACATCAGATGTCAGCACATCAGTCCAGCCCACCCCACAAAAAAACAAGAGCTGCAATTACATGAGGAATTTCTGCCTCCTTCCCAGCTGCTGTAAGAAAGAGGAATGCAGGCTGAGTCCCTGGGGAACTCAGCTACTAAAATCATGTGCAGACGGCAGTTTTTCGAAACTTTAATTTCATGCACCTTGTATAGATTTCCATTGAGCCAGCAGGAGGCTTACTGTGGAAAGACAGGCTTGCTACTTGTCAAATGCTGCATCCCCATTCCAAGGCTCACTCAGCAATACTGGAGATTTTCAGAGAGTAAGAGGCCAGAACACTTTTTTCCTAATTTAATTCTGAACAGTGTATCAACTGCTTTGTATGAGAGGTTTCCAGAAGTAGTCCACTAAAGCATTTATCATCTTTTAAATTAAATCAACAGGTTAGCATTTGGTAAAGTTATAAAAATTGAAACCCGTCTAAGAAATACAAAGTATTTGGTAATCTTAATATGTAGCATTGCTAGTTTCACCCACAAAAAAAGCTGGGCATCAGTTCAGAATACCTTAACCCTGTACATTAATGCAAACTATGGAAGCCAGCCTTGGAACCAACAATTACTCAAAACCAAAGGTTTCTGCCTTGAAAGTGTCCCTAGACAGGGAAATTTCTCCCCTGTCCCACCCAAATGATGAGTTAAAACATTATTACATAAAATGACATAGACTCAATCACAGAGAAGCAACTTATATACGAGTGTTCACACTACTTACAAATCTTAAAAAATTCATAAGACTTCAAGAATAGTATTTTTCTGCTGTTCATACAAGATATGCAGTTATCACAATTTCATTTTCCAAATAACAACACATACAAAATTTTAACTGCTGATAGAGCAACTGTTGATCTTTAAAAAAAACCCAAAAATCTCCAACAGTATATGAACTACTGTTTTATAATAGAAAGGATGTATTTGGAAAGCAAAATTAAATTTTATAATCACAATATTCACAACAGCTGAACTTCAGTCTAATCCTCTGTACTGACTTGAATGCTTATTATATCTATAAAACCTTACCTAGGCTTGCTGTGAGGCATTCCAGATCTGCTAAAAACCCAGGTATTTGTTGGAGCTGATCCTGTAGTTCCAGCAGACTGTTTCTTTTCTTCTCCCAGTGTGCAGAAAGCATCACAACTTCACTATCGACCAGCTGAAACAAACAGGTATTTAATTTACTTGCAAATTTATGTATTTATGAGCATCTTGGCTTATTTTTAGAATTAATGCATCTTCATTTTATTATATAATAGTATAATGTACTTATATGGGTCATATTCTATGAAAAACAACAAGATCAAGAGATCTTACATAACAAATGTTTCCTTTATATATAATTGAGATGATTCAATTATCATTTTCCTGCTCTTAATTCCATTATCCATCCTTCCTCTTGCACACAACTGCAGCTTGTGCCTGGATCTGCATTCTGAATGCCTCAGTTTTTATAGCATGTAGTTCCAGAAACTGAAAAAATCTAAGCAATGAGCAAATGAGTGCTCAGATTTATAATTCTACCCAGTTCAGACTGATTCTATTAAAAGAATAACTTCTCCCATTTCCAAATTCCTCTAGCTACCTATCCCTGTCAAAAAGACATCCTGTTTTACTAGAAAAGTTTTGAAAACTTATTCCAAAGCCCAGCAAGTAATGGAACACCTCAGAATACCAACATCCTTACTGAAATAAAGCTAAGTCTATTTTTGAGAATGAGGTAGGATTTATATCAGTTAAACAGTAAAGCAAACAAAAAAAACCCCCAAACAAGCCACCATGAGATGGAGTCAAACACCAGACAAACATTTCAGCCCAGAGATAACAATGCAGCTTAAACTACAATCGTCTAAAAGCAGTACCTTTAGAACAATTTTGTAAGTGGAATTGGTAGTTAACATCAACCATTTCACATGGTAAGACTGTAGGCTGCAATTAAAGCTTGAAATTGTCACTTTCCTTTCTCTATTCAACATTTACAAATAAGACAGCAGAGCAGTTTATCTGCTATTGGCCAGTACAAGAAATGGGATACTGGACAAGTGGATCTTTAGGTGTTATACAGTACAGTCGACCTTGTGTGCTTACACAATTTTTATTTTATTTTGTACTTTTATATAAAAAGAAACAAACAAAACCCCACAAGCAATATATATATATATATGATTGTCCCAAAAGCGAATATCTGAATTTCATTGCAAATTTCAGTCTTTTTGGAAGCTTTTCATTCTCATTTTCCCAAGCAGCTATAACATGTGAGATTAAGGTTATACTGGTTTAGTACATATGAAACCTTACATCGTTTTCAGAACTACAATTTTTAAAGCAAACTAAACAAGCAGCAAGTATTATAAAATTGTGATCAAGTCATTTAAGAGATCTACAAAAGATCCTTGTGAGCAGTAAACCATGCAAAACTGACAGAGAGAACTTTCATCTCCAGTAACTGGAAGTTTTCACTGGAACTTGTGGAAAAGGTGGGCCATACTATTAGGCAAGAGAAAGAACACAAGATATCTTCCTTATTACCGTAAATACACAGTGAGTTATTTTTCCATCGGACAAAGATACACAGAAGTCTCGTAAATAAAACAGAAGAGCCACGGAGGATGCACCCAGTCAAAATGAAGGTTTCAGCCAGGACAGAGAACCCTACAGCTCAGTCCTGCTCAGCCTACACTGCCTGCCCCTTAAACGTGGCTCAAAATGGAAAGTCTGGTGCAGAGTAATGCATTGGTAACACTTACTGGAAGTTTCCTTTCCCTTATTCCACAAATAAACCGCACAACTTGTCACTTCGCTTGCAGGGCAGAAACACTGAACAAAATTAGGAGAAAGCAGACACTTCCCTAATCTTTTCAGTCAGACAATCAAATCTTGCCGTTTTTTGTCCGCTAGGAGTGGGCAGCAAACATTATCAGTGCAACAGCCCTACCCTGATAGTAACCATCAACATGTCTCAACCTCAAATATATTCTATACTTTCCCAGTCCCCCCACTGCTTTTAAAGAGCTATAGCAGTAACATGCAACATCATTTTTGCAACTGTTTACATTGCATCACATTATTTCATGTTTGCATTACACTCTTGTTTACATTACTGTGTGAGTGAACAAGGCTCTGTGGGTACTTACCTAGAGGTCAGGGTTAACCCTGTATGCTGGTACCAAAAATTTTAGTTTAAAATTATTTACACATTTTAAAATATTTCAAGTATGACATTGTTATTTTTTCTCACCTCTCCAGCTTTTGCACAATCTTTGGCTCCTTTGTGAAGGGCAGCCCACGCATCTTCATATCTGAAGAGAAAATAAATTACTATTCTTACTGTGCTCCCCTTACAGAGGAAGATTTTATAGATATTACTGTGCTTATATTTACAGGCACTACCAGAAATTGCAGCTTAAAAAGCTGTACAATTCTTTTCAGTATTTACTGTTCTACCGAGACAAATATACAGTAAGAAATAATATCTTTTAAAGAAAAAGTGATTCATGTTTTTTAACTTGCTAGCTTACATTAAAAGTGAAATGGACCCAGCAATATCAAGACTATACACTGCCTTAAGCATTACTTGGAACCCAATTTCATTAAGAAAATGGAAAAAAAAAAATAAAAATATTGTAATCACACATACACTGCCCCCCCCCCCAAAAAAAAGAGAATAGATTTTTTTAAGATATAAAGAAAACTTAAAATGGAGATAGCTTCTGTTATTCAGAAAAGATGTGATTAAATACATATGGAATACGCTGTCTTTTCAAGGCAATGACAGGCATATTGTCTCTATTGTTACAGAGGGAAATTATATCAAATATATCTAAGTTATGAAACATCAAATCGAAACCACAGACTAGGACTCAGTGCTGGTCTTCATATCTGTGCATTAGAACATGAACTAAAGTCATCTCTCAAACGTGGCTTTTCCTCCAGAACCTCTGCTGCATTAGCACGACAGCACTTGAGTATGGGGCAAGCTTTAAACATAGTTGTCATCTGGTAACCACTCTCACACTCCTAACTGCAGAATATTCAAAAACCTATTAGCAACACTTTGGTTTTCTTCTAATTATCTTAATCTAATGAAGTTATTTCTGAAACTGTAGGAAGCAGACACCAAGAAAGAACAGGAAGGTCATACCTGCTGAGTAATTCCAGTCCAGCAGAAAACTCTGGCAAACACTGAATAGTTCTATAAAACAAATTGTAAATATACAAAATTTTTAAAGAACAGAAGTCTATTATAAAAAATGAGTGCACACACACCTGCACTTGACAGATGCTGAGCAGAAATGTTCCCTACTGTTCAGTTTCACAAACATTTTGCCAACTCTGGTTTAAGATTCATTACAGAGTGGATCTTACAAGAATATTTCAAAGCTAGGATTGCTTTTTTTTCTTTTGTCATTTTATGACAGCCCATTCTTTCTTCTTTTTGACTATGTCCATTGAAAACAATTTTTATGAAATAATTTCTTAGTACAGTTAAGAAAGAGACAAGAAGGACATTGTTTTAACTTAAAACAAGGCACAGAAACATCCTGAAAATAGGACTACTACACAAGTTCTTTATGCCCCTCAATAGAGATGTTGCACTTAATATATTCTGCATCAAAAAGAAACACTAAGCTAAAGAATCTTTGCCAATTTAATGCTCTAATGATTTCATATTGGATGTGTACATTTCCATTAGTAACAACTTGAAATATAGAGAAAACTTATTATAACAGAATCACGTAACCAATTAGGTTGCAAAAGACCTCTGAGATCATAGAGTCCAATC